GAGCATGGGCAGCTATGAACCTGTACTTCACCCAGGCCGAACAGGACAGATCGACGGTGGTGACCTCGGACCTGGACTCACTCTTGGACGAATCGGAGTTGCGGGATTCGAAGCAAGCCTTTTGGCGGCGTTACCGCCAGAGGTTCCCCCCGGAAGTTCACCCATCTGATTCGACGATCTCGAGGGTGTCTCGGGAAATGTCCAAACGCATGTTGTGCATTTACAGTGTCTGGAAAGTGAAGACCCTCCAGGCACCAGTTCCTCACCAGCCAAAAGAAGAGGAAGCTGGGTGAGAACCTCTACACAGAAAAGGCACCATGCGAGCAGACGGCGGAGAACTACTTGGATAGGCTCCAAACCTTGCTGTTGGCCTATGCTATGGCCGGTGTAGCCCAGCCAGCGACCTCCGACCCTACCTTCGATGCGCCATCGCTCCACTGGATATCTGTACGCAATATTTCTATCGAGCTAAGAGGACAGCCGCTCTCATCCCAGCATCCAAGCGCCTTCAGTGGCTACAAGCTCGTGACCTGGAAGAACGTAGCGAGTGGACGTCGAGGTTCAGGGAAAGCACCGCTACCCTTGGCACGATTATCCGTGGTTGCTGAAGCGTCGGTGGGAGTGACCCCCGGTCAGGCGAGCGGCAGCAATCAGAGCCTGCCGAGCAAGATGGTCCTAGGGAAACCAGTCAATGGCAGGCAGGTAGCCAAGGTGATGAAGGACGGTACCGCCCTGTGCGCAGCATTCCAGCGGGGAGCTTGCAAGACCAAGGGGAAGTGTCCACAGGGCGCTCATCGGTGCGGGGCAATCCCCAAGAAAGATCGAGTCTGCGGTCATGGGGCGGGGCAGTGTCGCACCACTGAGGAGGCCCCGGCCACCTCCTCGGGCACAGAGGACACCGTCCTAGGGCCGTCTGAGCCTCCCTTGATGGTAGACCTCATGGCGGGACCCAATGCCCCGTTGACCAAAGCGTTCATCTTTTGTGGTTGGCGGACGATCACAGTCGATTGGCTCATTGATGCATCACATGATCTATCACACCCGCTCAGGCAGGCTTCCCTCCATGAACAGCTGCAGGAGGCGGCTTTCCTTTTCGCAGCGTTGGATTGCAGCACGAAGTCCCGGGCGCGCGAGATCCCGATCACCTTCTCTGATGGCAGACCCGGCCCTCCACCACTCCGATCCACGCATTATCCTGAAGGCCTCCCGAACCTCTCCGGGCGGCGCAAGGAGCGGGTCGAGACGGACAATGCCGCTTGCCATTGGGTCTGGACGAAATCCAAGCCTTGGCCCAGCGCGGAGGGGGCTCGATCCGCGAGAACCCAGGCAATTCGCTCCGTTGGGAGTTACCCAAGGAGTGCGAGATGATGCAGACCGGGATATGGCAAGACACTACCTATGCCGCCTGTTGCTTCGCAGGTGCCAGAGCCAAGCACCAGCGGCTCCGCCACAACATCGAGGAGATCGGTCGGTGGCCGACCCTGCGTTGCAACCACGTCCATGCACCCGAGGAGTGGGCCCCCTTCGAGGTGGATGGCGCGCGTGTTTTCCCTAGCAAAGAGGAGGCCGAGTACACAGCGCCGCTGGCCTTCTCGATTGCGGTCTCGGTCTCGTATTGGGCAGTTCGGACAGGTCGTGCCAGATTGAAGTTAGGGCGGCTCCCGCCCGTGGAGACGACAGGCCATCGTGCACATTGGCTCTACCTTGATCACCGGTCCCTTCGCGAGTGGGCAATGACACCCATGGCTATCAGCCTAGGCCTCCTGCCGCCAGACACCAAGGAGCGGTCCCGAGTATGCCAGGTTGCTTCAGTGGATGCGGTTATCCATGAGGGCAGTCTCCCGGCCAATCACATCTATGTCGACCAAGGCCACCATCGGCACCGGCTTCCCACGACGAAATGGGCGCCTCCGTGCACACCGGGCGTGAACTGTTGTTCTACGGATGACTGGTTAGCTTTCTATGTCACCCACATTCGAGAGACTGATCTGGGAGGATCTTTCCGAGCTCCAGGGCCAGGTGCTGGTGAGTGACACCGGCGGAGGACCCTTGTGCCCGGCGACAGCTCGTTTTCAACTACCTGTCACCTAGTGCACCGGCGCACCACCACAAAGCAGGCAGCCAGGCCAAGCCGGCCCGTAACCGGTCTTCGCCACTCCTGAGAGTGGTCTCTCTTTCGGGGGTCAATGCTATGGCACCGACACAGCTGTTCCCACAGGAGAGTGTGATCCTGGCGTTCAAGCGCCTCTTCCCGTATGAGTGGTTCGCAGGTTTTCGCTTCCCATGGGTTGAGGACCTTGTCAACGACTTCCCGTTCATCAGCTATCCCACCTGGAGAGCCCAGCGGGGGCTGGAATGGGATGGACCCCTGGGACCGCTGGGAGTGACCCAGCATTCCAGGCTCCTACAGCGCCACGCCGAAGGTCAGCAAGCCGGTGCATTGAGCCACAAAGCAGCGCTACCACCGCTCCTGAGCTTTGGCTTGTCCATTGATGATCACTTCACCCAGTCGCTAACGCTTGGGCACCATCCGTTACCTACTGAGAGGCCTCCCTTGCTTGATGACGACCTATGGTTTTGCGCCGAACAACATTGGCGACCTCCAGCCGAGCTCTATGCGAGCTATCGGTGCCATCAAGGAGTTGAAGCAACGGTGGACCCCAGTGACCGCTCAACTGAGGCGCCTTCAAACTCCAGCCATTCGCCGAGTGACGGCGAGTAGGGACCTGGGGCTGACAGCGCTGCTGATCATGCTGATGTCTTGGGCTGATACCACCTACCCTTATGGGTTGATCAAGGGCATGCCAGCGGTGGGGACGGCGCCACCCTATGGTACCTGGTATCTTTCCAATCCAGGAAGGTCGAGAGATTACCCTGGCGGAAGTTCTAGAAGGCTGGCAAGACCACAATTCATGCATCATCCGACAGTTGAAGCCCGGTCCACACGACAGGGTATTGCTTGAACAGAGCGAAGCTGATGCCTCCCATGGTTTCTGCACGGAGCCGTTGACGCACGCGCAGTTACTTCGTCACATCAAAGGTGCTCCTCATCGGCTGATCCCGAGATGCATCATCGTCCAGTCGAGTGGCAAGAAGCGAATCATCGATAACGGGGACACCGGTGGACAGTCCGAACGCTCCTCTGATTACAACAAGCTGACCTTATGTTCCCCGTTCAGGCCGGCTCAGCATATTGCCGCAGTCGCCGCGTGTGCTTCCCCTGACCAATGGCGCGCTCGTTTGGAGTGGGACTCCTTCGAGAGCGGGGGTGAAGACTGGCCCAATGCCTATAGGGGTACACCTATCTCGCATTGGCTGTGTGGTGGCCTTCTGGCATGAGCAGTGGCAGAAGCCAGCCTTCCAGCTTTACCATTCGTTGTTGTTTGGTTTGCCGCTGGCGGTCACCAGTTTCAACCGTTACAGTCGCCTGGCTGAAGCTCTAGGCCGAAGGCTGTGCCTTTGCCTGACGTCCCTATACTTTGATGACGCGAACATAATCGACTGGAAATCTTCGAAGGGTTCTGGCCAGGCAGTGTTCAATCAGCTGAATGTCCTCATCCGCACCCCCTTTGCCGAGGAGAAGCGCCAGGCGATGACCAATAACGGAATCTTTCTCGGCTTGCATCACGATTTGAGTACAGTTTGTGCTGGCTTTGTCCGTTTTTGGCCCAGAGACAGATTGATTGCCAAAATGGAGGCCTTCTTGCGCGATGCAATTGGCAGTTCCACGCTGGCCTCTGGCACGGCGTCGAAAATTTACGGCATGATGGCCTTTTTGGAACAGGGCCTCTACGGGCGAGTAGGGTGTAGCGGCCAACAAGCCATCAAGGCTAGGCAGTATGAGACTGACCGCTGCCTCACGCCAGCGTTGAGGGAGAGCTTGCAGTTGATCCAGGCCGTTCTCCAGTTGCGGCCGGCCAGGGTGTTGGAAGTGACCCACCCCGAGGTGCCTAGGTTTGTTGTGGCTTCAGATGCAGCCCTTGAAGCACCATTTGCAGGGACAGGCGGCTTCCTCATCATATGGTTTGATGGCGCCGCAGAGTGTCGAGAAGCTTTCGTTTTCCATATGCCGAGATCGTTATATGACCTATTCACTCCAGGTGAGAAGAAAATCGCGCAACTCGAGCTCATTCAGCTCATTTTTGCACTGACGACGAGGCCGGACCGTTTCCGAGGCAGACGAGGGGTCTGGTTCTTGGATAACAGTGCCGCACTGATGGCACTGATCCGGGGACGCTCGGATGCGGCGGACTTAGAGCGCGTGTCTCAAATTGTGCATGTTTTGCTCTTCGGCCTCCAGTGCTGGATGTTTTTCGAGTGGATTCCCTCGAAAAGCAATTGGGCTGACGCCATCAGCCGCTTGGGATTCCAAGACCCCTGGCACGTGAAGCATGGGTTTTCCCAGTCAGAGGCATTTTTCCCATTCATCCTGTGGCAACTGCCCGTTGCCGGCCTCACTCGCGTGGCCGAATACTTGTAAGTGCGTTGGGGATTTTAAAGTGCTTTGGGTGATATCTGGGGTGACCAGATGAAGCCCAGCCAGGTGTGACCTGGCAAGGAGCCAACCGG